GAGCGAGCGCGGGTTTGTCTAAATGTATTTGGAGGTTATTACTCGCGTCTCATTCGGCACAAATCCAAATGTTTCCATATTCGTAATGTATTTGAATGTTAAACTATTATTTATAATGTAAACTAGGCTTGTACTTTAAACGCATTCGCATATAGACGGAAAAGATCATCCTCTTCACATGAAGAAAAACGTCCTTGGCATAACAGCAGAGGGGACCGGTATACTACGGTCTATTTAAACTGACCAGTGTAACCTTTTATATGTTTGGTTGACTGTATTTTATTTTGATAATGAACAGACTGTGATGTAAGTTTGAATTGCTAGAATATGTGGGGTGTGTGCGTGTGAGGTGCCGGCGCGTTCAAACAGCTGAAACATAAAAAAACTTGTTTATGGAGCGTGCGCCACACTTCTGTTTTAAATCTGTTAGCTTAATTATTTAAGCCAGATATATTTCGCTATTTTTTTTTTTTTATGAAAACAAATTGTTATTTTTATTTAGGCCTATTGCTTACATAGGCTATACATTTTCCTTAAAGCATCCCATTTTGTTCCAGGGCTTGAAAACCTGTGCCTAGGCTAGTTAGGTCCATGCAGAAACTAGTGAACGATGCTCTTAGTTGTGGCATCACCGTTTAGTGACATCATTGAATGCTCCGGGAAAACGTATTGTCAAGTGTTGGTCACAGCACCTTTTTTCCTTTTTTCCTTTTTTCTTTTTCATTCCACCCTCTTCTGAAACTGAAAAACAGGTCAAAGCAGTTTTATATTACATAATTGTTGCCTTCTGCAAGCATAACCAAACATACAGCATGACTAGTGTAGCATATGAATAACTCTTATGAATCGGTTCATTTATTGAATCACAAGTTAAAGTTGGCAAGAAATTAAAATTCACTATTCATCTTATGTTTCATTTTTAAAATGTAGCTAGACCTTCTAACGTTATAATATTTTAATGGCAGACTTCCCCAATCATTTAGTCTACTTAAACCCTGTCTCCTCACAATAGACTGTAAGCTCACTTTATTTTATTTGTTTGTTTAGTTTTTTTGAGTGCAATGGCCACATTTCAAAAGGCCCATTTACTTTTGTCACCTCGTGTGTTTTCTCAAATCAGATGGCTATTCGATTTGTTGAAACCGTTCCATTTACACTTGGCCAAATAACTGTCTCCAAAAAACGATTATAATTCCGATCTTCAGTTCCCATACTACATGCATATTTAATGGAGATCACATCATCAGTTGTCCAATCAACAACCAACGTACAAGTGCCCGCCCATATATATTTTTTCGATTATCAGTTACACTCAGATGTTACATCAGTTACATCACAATACAGAAAAAGATTTGTCGCGACTTTGTTTCATTGTGACTTTAACTGTTTGGGTCCATCTAGCGAATCACTGAATCAGTCAGAATAGTTGCTCAGTTTGACGTGTTACTTGTCTGGATGTTTATATTACAAAGAATAGTTAAAGTTAGACATTCAAGACTTTTGTTTTAATAACTAGCATTTTAATGAACAAAATGACCAAATATATTATGCTTTTGTTTAGTATGTAGTTAAAACCAATTATGGGAGTGAGGTTCACAAAAACACAAAAGAATTTTGTAGAAAACACTGGTGTGTGTGTGAAAGTGAGAAAGAGAGGGATAGATGGTGTATGTGTAGGTGGTGAAGTATTTATAGTTCTTCATCGTGACTGTCGCTTTCTGGGCGTGTATGACCGCATCTGAGTGTGTTGAAAAAGAGTTTCTCTTTTTCTAGGCAGAGATGGGCTTCAGTCTCTGTACTTGGAATATTACGCCCAATTTCCTTTTCACCACAGCAAGTGAGAAAGAGGATGAAGAAAAGTAAGAAGGGGGAAATGGAAAGATAGAGATACAAGAAAGGGAGCTGTCCTTTAAAAAGGTAAAGAAAAGAGAAGATAGCATGAGGACGAACAACAGATCTCCATGGCAACGCTGCAATCAATCACGACCCAGCAACTGACTGCTTCTTTAAAGACGTTCTGGATTGCGTGCAAGTGCATGTGTGTTTTGAAACAGAACAAGAGAGCATGCTTTACAGCTACTACAGCATTTGCGTTTAAAAGGATCCTGCTGCCTCTGGTTCACTCATCCATCTTTCTTTTAAAGAGACCATTGAGAAAAGTTTGAAAGATCAGTGATGAAACTCATAACCAGGTCAATAAACATCAGATCCGGTCTCTGAATTCTGTGCCGTGAAGCACTTAGAGCAGCTTTTGGGTCTGATCAGCTTCCTACTGTGCTGAACCAGTGTCAGCTAAACTCAGGATCTCAGAGCTGCCGGAGAAGGTGGTATTTAAGGTTCAACGCTGAAGTGAGCAGGACTCCCAGTAAACCTAAAAAAGATTCCGCCACAGACAGCATGCTGTCAGGGAGAACATTATCCTATCCTCACTGCTGTCTGTGGAGGATGTAATTACAAGGAGAGATAGATGATGAAATGGAGCGAGGGAAAGACCCAGAAAAAGAGCAAAAAAAGGGAATTTTATTTAACCCAGACTGACCTTCGTCCTAGATGATTCTTTAATAGTAAGGTAGATGCCAAAGGATATAGTTCTAGATACAAAAAATGAGCCCTTTTGAGACTCTGGTTCTGTTTTAAATCCTCATGGGCTGTCTGCAGTCTACGTAAGCAGTTACTTTCGAAAGAGATGGTTGATTCTGACAGCATTTTAAAGCGACAAGAAGTTGTTCGTTTTCCTCAAGAGGTGATTTGAATGACAGGAATTTCGTGGATAAAAGAATAAATGGATAGTTCACTCAAAAGTGAGAATTCTGTCATTTTTTACTCACCCTCATGTTGTTCTAAACCTGTGTGACTGACTTTGTTCTGTATAGAAGGCAAAAGAAGATTTTCAAATAACATTGGACTGGGATCTTATGGCCAAAAATCACTGAAGCGTTTTTGTAAATAACTTCTTTGGTGTTCCACAGAAAAAAAAATATGTCATAAAGGTTTGTACTGATAAGTAAATGATGACAGAATTTGAAATTTTGAGTGGACTGTCCCTTTAAGGAAGCATTTGAACTGAAGTGGAACCTTGAAGTGACTGATTTGAAACTCTATATGTCCAGTCCAGCAATTCAGTTAAGGGTCACTCATGCATGCAACACAAGTTGCTCATGTGACACTCACAAAAGACTTGACTAACAATCACATTTGACTCCAGTAGAGATTGATGATAGTATGTTGCTAAGCTAAAAGCACAAACAATTCATAGAACATGCTAATTAAAAATTGAGATTGAGAAAAAGATTTGTTTTTAAATAGATTTAACTATTTCTTTTCACTACTGCTTTAAATTGTAAATAATACTTCCTTATACTCTTGTTTTTTCAGTATGTTTGCATGTGCGGTGGGGCAGGTCTCATGTGAAGTTCTGCTTGATAAGGAAGAAAGATTATCTAGAAAGGAGAGTGCCATTGTAAAAGTGCATTGTGACATTGTAGCGGGGTGTTTCATTGATGTTTATGAGTGATGTATTGATATCAGTTCTGCATTATGTATATATCAGCACTCTCATGACTAAGCACACACACAAGCTATACCAAGGTCTAAAATCTGAGTCCCCAGCCATACCTGCACACATGCCCTCTAATACCTTAAGTCCTTGCCCCTCAGTTCCTGTCAGCACACTGTCAATCTCCAGCTTTCTATGCCCTGACCTTTGCTACTGCTCTTGGATCAGCTTACCTATAAACACACACATTCAGACTGACACAGACGGTGTGGGTTTGCTGTATTGTTTCAGCCAGCTTTTCTCATGCCTTTCTCGTGAGCTGATTGGCATCATGTGATACGGGTAAAGAAATAAAGAGCGTCTTCATTTAAATACATACCTCTGAGTGTGCACCATTTATTGGACTTGACGTCAAGCATTACATTTATGACTTTGAACTTTGATCGGTTGGTCTTTGAAGACAGAGCTGTCATGAAGTACAGCTCCCGGATATGTGAACACACACACACTGCACCACAGGGCTCATGGAGTTGGCTGGGTCCCTCTTGATGATTGAACTTTCTCTTTAATGAGCTCTGCTTTAGCTTGAGTACAAAATGGAGAAACTTCTGTAAAGTTAGAGATTAAAATTATAAATGCTGTGTGATGCTACTTGTGTAAATGTTAACACGCTTATGTTTGTGAAGGAATGAAAGTGGGAAAGTGTAGAGAAGCACATAGTATATTTGTGCGTATGTGTGTTTGCAGGTTTAGCAGATGGACCGGTTTGATTTAATCTAATCTAATCCACTGTAATCTAATCCAGTCTGATCTGATCTGATCTGTATGTTTCTGCAGTGTAATGGGGTAATGGACGGGAGAGTTGAGAAGATTTTTTCAACATTTTTTCAGGATTCTTTGATGAATTGAAAGTTCAAAATAACAGCATTTATTCGAAATTGAAATCATTTGCAGCATCATAAATGTCTTTACTTATGTCTTTGCTGATTAAAAATATGAATTTCCTTACTGACCCGAACTTTTGAACGGTAGTAAACTCTCCTGTACCCATATCTTCCGTAACTACAGAAAGTTCTTACCAATAGTCAAAAGTTGTCAGATGATTGTACTTAACACACACCAAGTGGTGCTTCTTATTTTACACTTTCTGTGCTCTAGAGCACAACAATGACATGATGCATACAAGTTTTCAACTGTGGTTCTGTTCATACCTCACATATCACTCAAACGCACTGATCTGGTTCTGACCCCTCAATTATCAGGTAGTCAGTCAGAGGTTGTGATCATCACTGTGTATTTGGCACGCCAAAATGACCGAGCAATATTCTACGGCTGTGTGAATGTAGCCATATTTTCCTCTTGTGAATCAGTCTGATAGATCTATCTGCATGTGTGAGTGTGTGTGAAAGCGAGAGAGGGGCAGAATGTAGTTGAATTTGAGTGTCATCCGAGTGTGACCATCTGAAACATTTTTTTTGATCCCTATATCCTATCTCTCTGTCAGACCCACTCTGATGCCAAAGGAGGAGGGCGTCCCAGTGTGTCACGTAGTCGGAATGTGGTGCCGACGGTGGATGAATACCCCCACATAGGAAATTACAGACTGCTGAAGACCATCGGCAAGGGCAACTTTGCCAAGGTTAAACTGGCCCGACATGTCCTCACTTCTAAAGAGGTAACTAGATCTTACCTTAGTACTTACCTTTTTTTAGTGGATCTTAGGGCTGCACGATTATGACAAAAATCATAATTGTCGATTATTCCCTTGAAATTGTAATTGCTATTATTAATTACGATTATCTCAATTTACATCATTGAATAATGTTTATACCATTGTTTGATGCAACTGCATGCCGTATTTTTATATGAAAATAAACAATCTGAAAACACTCTAACTGAAAAACTTTTAGTGCTTTTCTATAGAATTGAAGGGATAGTTCACCCAAAAATGAAAATTTGATGTTTATCTGCTTACCCCCAGGGCACCCAAGATGTAGGTGACTTTGTTTCTTCAGTAGAACACATATGATGATTTTTAACTTTATTCGTTGTTCATATTAATGTTAAAAAACCTCATAAAGTGAAATTTTCATGCCATGGAACCTTTAAGACACAGTCTTAACAATAATGTCTGTGTTCATGCAACTGGCTCCAGATATGCGAAATCTAATTTCAAATTGGACTGGATGTGTGAATTTTGCTTAAATTCAGACTATGAAGAAGTAATCAAATACACAGATTTTCTCTTGAATTCTTTTGACAAGTTTCAACATTCCCAAGCAGGTTGTTCACTGATACTGTTTCCTCCTTGCTGAACAATTTAAGTTAACTTTATTAGGGTGAAAATGATGCCACAACTGTGGGACAGTCATATAAACCTTATGATTTATGATTATTTCAACAAGTAACAAAAATAAGGAAAGGCTGGCATTGTAAAAACTGTTCAAGCCTATTGTAATATGATCTTCGTATAACAAATAAAAGAAGCTGAAACCTGAAAGTTGATCTGTTTTAATAAAAACCAACCCCTGGGACATGTTTCTGTTGCCTGAATTTGCAGAAACATGCAAATATAGATAAAGCACAGTTAGCATTCAGAGTCATCTTTCTAGTGTACTCTGGTAAATCCTTTTGAAAAAAGTAATTTTATGTTTGAGAGAGGTGTTTAAAGATGTGTTTGTGTTTCTTTTGTCTCAGGTAGCAGTGAAAATCATAGACAAGACACAACTCAACTCTTCTAGTCTACAAAAAGTGAGTCTGCAGATCTCCTCTCTTTATCTGTATATCTGTCTGGAGAGAGGGCGCAGAAGGGGTAATTACAGGAAGAGAAGCTGAAGGATTTCCTCTGACGTGGGAATGAACGGGTTCTGCTTTACCCCCTCGCACACATACATACGCTGGTCATGTACCATGAACTTTTTGCTGTAACTACTGCAGAATCCTGGAGGATATTAAAGAAATGAGGTTAATGCATTGTTCTTGCTGCTAGTGAAAATTTAACAATGTATGTGCTGTAAACTATTAATACACTACCATTCACAAGTAGGATATTTTGGGGTCAGAAAGATTTTTTTTGGAATAAATTGATTTTTGAAAGATACTTTTATTCAGAAAGGATGCATTAAATTGATCAAAAATGACATACAAAAGACATACAAATAGATTTCTATTTGAAATGAATGCTTTTCTTCAAACTTTGTTCATCAGAGACTCCACACTTCATTAAGCATAACAACCATTTTCAACTTCTAATAATAATAAGATAAAAGATTTCTTGAGTACTACAATGAACACCTTGGAATGATTTCTTAAGGATCATGTAACTGAAGTGTTAAACATATGAACATAAAATAGACAATATTACAGTTTTTGATTTTTTGATTAAACAAATACAGCCTTGATGTACTATTATTTAAAAAAAACGTACTTATCTCAAACATTTAAACATCATTGTATGTAATCCCAGATTTCCACAATACGTCTGTGTTTGTACAAAAATAGAAAATTTACATCTATTACCGTATTGTCCCGAATTTTCTTGGAAATACATCTGAAAAAACGCAGTGGTCTTATATTCAGGGTCTAGACTTTGACATGTCAATAATACACCCACAACACTAGGTGGCGCCAAATACACATAAAACGAGTGTGCCATGAAATACGTAATAAAATGCATGTTGTAAAGATCGCCAGTAAAAACAAAAGAAAAAGAAAACCTTACAGGTGCATGAGTCGTGACTGTCACATTAGCCTGATGGGACCAACTCTACTTCTACTGTTAATAAGATTTTGGTAGGCTACTATTAGATGGATAGCCTAAATGTCCTAATTCAGATGGGCTACCTGTTTTATTTTTTTTATGGTATATCAAAAAGTGTATATTTTTTTAAATGTGATTGTTGGTACATTTTACCAGTTTTTACCATACTTGTAAAACAAAAATGAAAATAGGAAAAATATGCAATATGAAAATAATTGAAGACAAAATGTGTTTTACTGAGAAAAAACAAGATTTGGTTTTTAAAAAGACTTTTTCCAAAAGTTACATCTGGAAAAAGGGGGGTCGTCTTATATTCGGGCCAATACGGTATTTAAACGGATGATAGTAAATGTTCAGACACAGTTTTTTCATCGTTTATCACTTAAAGGAGACATATTATGCCCCTTTTTACAATATGTAATATAAGTCTCTGGTGTCCCCAGAATGTGTCTGTGAAGTTTCAGCTCAAAATACTCCACAGATCATTTATTATATCATTTTGAAAATGCCTATTTTGAGTGGAAGCAGAAATACGCAGTTTTTCGGGCCTGTCTCTTTAAATGCAAATGAGCTGCTGCTCCCTGCCCCCTTTTCCAGAATAGAGCAGCGCCATTACAGCTAGTACCTGCTAAAAACATTTGTTTTGGTTCTGATTATCATGTTTATCGTGCTGAAATCGTGTGTTTTAAACCATATTAGTTTAAACTTCTGATACGGTTTTCTGAGAGCACACAACCGAAGCACACGGACAGAAAGAGGCTGTCACAGCATGTGAGTACTAAACTAAGTTCTCATTCACACACAAGTTTACGTTAAAAACACACATGAGTTACAAATAACAGTCGGTTATGTCTGTGAAGGTAAACAGCTGGGAAATAAATCGCATGTTTATTTTAGATCTGTGTGGCAGCAGCATTATACAGTAAATAAATCAATAAATCCACTGCTTGTCTCCTCTGAGGCTGGGACTCTAAATAGTGTTCTGTGCTCGTCTGTGCAGCCAAAGACAGAACAGTTAGCATGTTTTGCTCAAACTTTCGCCATGGCATTAGAACTAGTACACCGTTGTCGCTTGCGAAAGCACAATAACGGCGACGTGGGTGTAAACTTACAGATTAAGGGGCGGTAATATTATAATGAGATCCCTTTGTCACGTCACCAAGGGAGCGAAATCAGACGCGCTCATTTTCTCAGACGCTTGCAGAAAAAGGCTTCCCAAAACAAAGTTACTGGGTTAATCTTTTTCACGTTTCCTTGGTTGGTAGATGCACCGGGGTCCTGAATATAGCACTTAAAACCTGAAAAAGTCAGATTTTCATGATATGTCACCTTTAAGTTATTAGTAAATCCTGACCAAAACAGTTTAAAACCAACCTAAAATATTTTGTTGGTCTTAGATTGTCTGCCAGCCTGGCTTAAAGCTCTTTGACTAACTGCTCAAAATCCCTATAAAACCACCCTGACCAGACTGAGAGACCAGCAAACCAGCTTGAAATAAGATTGACCTGAGCCCTTAAAGGGACAGTTGACCCAAAAATAATTTACTCACCCTCAAGTTGTTCCAAACCTATTTGAGTTTCTTTATTCCATTGAACACAAAAGACGACATTTTGAAGACTGTGGGTAACCAAACAGTTGCTGGTCCTCATTGACTTCCATAGTATTTTTTTCCATACTATGGAAGTCAGTGGGGGACCCTTTTTTGTAAACTATCCATTCAATTAAATGTATCTGGCATTATCACAAGGATCAGGTTAATAGCACCTTGTCAATGCTTACAATCTTCTCAAACCTTCTCTTTTTATTGTGTTTTCGCAGCTCTTCCGAGAAGTGAGAATCATGAAGTTTCTGAATCACCCAAACATTGGTGAGTGATTTAGAAAGAACCCGTCTAACTGGCCACACCACAATTAATACAATTATTTTAATATTTCAAGTCAGCGTCTGACATGAATCATCGGAATGGTCCGATCCAAGATAAGACCAGTCTGCTGAAATCAGTGAAATCGGCATTCCTGAGACTTTGATGTCATAGACGTTGAAGAAATGGACTGTTTGATATGTGCTGATATGCACTCGCTCAAGCCAACACACACGTCAGATACTGCTGATGTATTGAACTGTGTGTTTAAGTGTGTGTGTGTGTGTGTGCCTGTGCTGTGACGGTGGTCTTGACGGAAACGCTAGCTCATTAGCGCTCAGCTTCTGCTCATAAATATAAAAGAACAGAGCAGAAATATGAAAGGAAAGATCTGCCCCATTTGAGGATGCAGCACTGTGGATTCAGTCCTGATTCAGATTCTTTGCTCTCTCTCTGTTCAATGGCCGAGTGTGTCTGTGCTGGTATCACATCACACAATCACAACTGATTGATCTGAAACGCTCCTTGATCTTTTCCATGACGACACACACAAAGTAGGGATTATGTATTTTATTCATTGCATTAATGTCAAACAGTAGTGGCCTGTTTTCGTTGAATAGACTGTGATGAATAGCGTAGCTCTGAGCTTTAAAACCGACTCCTAAAGCCTGTTCATTTTTATTTTTATCATTCGACTTTATTAATGCATCTCTCTTTATTAGATGCTGTTTGTTTGGATTTGTAGTATTTGCATTTTTTCCTTTAGAGTTTGTGGGTTTTTATTGTTGCTTATGAGATGTTTTTCATGAGAAAAAATTCTTGTCGCTGCTGCTCAGCTCAGGAGACTCATTCTAATGCAGTTTGTAAGCGTAATATTTAGTGCTAAACTTTGGTTATAATCTTGTCAGCTGCTCAAGATAGATATGGTGGGTTTCGTAGCTTTCATCATATAGAAATAGATGTATTTATCCCCACTGCTTTCCTTCATACTTCAAACTCATATGGTGTTATCACATTTGGTAATAATGCTGTGCTTTAGAGGTGTAGATATGCTTCATCAGTAATATGATTTTTTTTTTCTCAACCTCAGTTGTTTGCACTGTTAACCTCAATAGAAAACCTTCGCAGTAAAACTATTTCAATAGTCGAATGGCAAATTTTCACAATTCTCTGAAATTATACCACATTGAATTGTTCAGAATACAGACAATTAAAAAGATTCACACAGTTTCCAAATCAGATGTGACAGTTGATTTGTTTGTATACTACGAAAGCTAAAATGCAACACAGTCACAGGCACCTATTGCTAATAGAGTGCTGCAGTGATGGCATGTTTTTTAGGATATATTCTATAAATATAATTTTTCCATTGGCTTTTAGATTATTCCAGGAAATAAGCACTGTGATGAAATAAGCACTTTATCAAGCCCAGATACATAATATATCGGCTGGAGTAAAAAGCTAAATGTAGGCTATTAATGAACAACACCATGTTAGAATAGTTTGCAAAAGTAATTATAAACACAGTGAGGCTGTGGACTAGTGAGTAGATGAGTTTACCTGTACTGTAGAGTAGGTGGGTTTAGCCACTTGTTAGCAACTGTTCTTTTCAAGACAAGTAAAAGCTTTAAAAAAATCACAAGGGGTTTTTACTCATGTATTGTATGTCATAAGTAAAATGTGAAAATGTCTGCCTTGTGTTAACCACAGATCTTATTTCAGCCAATTAACCAAAAACCTATTTAAAAAATTTACTTCAGGACAATAGAACCATAAGTAAAATGTTAACTTGTTTCGGGTTTTGACCTACAAAAATGTCATCCCTGTAGAACTCTATTGATTTTGGGCCAGTAAGATAATGATGTGAACGATTTCACAGAGATGTGTCATTTCTTGTTAATTCTTGTTTGGAATGTGCCTAAAATTCAAATTTGGTGTGAATAGTCTCTTACATGTTTTGATTTGTGATCATCTCTTTTTCTCCACCAGTGAAGTTATTTGAGGTGATTGAGACAGACAAGACGCTGTATTTAGTCATGGAATATGCCAGTGGAGGTGAGTGGGCTGAAAGACTAGAACTGCCAGCTGTCAATCATGTCAAGACCTAAAAATCAGGACACTGCATTTTAAATAATGTCATGAATTCTCCCATCTTCCTTTCTCCTTTGCCTGATCTGTCTGTTCTTCTCCTCTACTTGTACCACTTCTTCTGTACCTCTTGTCTTTCTCTGTCATTTTCTACTCTTATTGCAATGTTCCCCTCTTCCATTTCCAAGGAGAGGTTTTTGATTACCTTGTTGCTCACGGGAGGATGAAAGAAAAGGAAGCGCGTGCCAAGTTTAGACAGGTCAGTGCGAGTGCGTGTGAGTGAGTCATGCTTCAGTGTCAAAGCTCACATGTACGTACAATGAGGTCTAAGTGAAAATGCTTCCATTTTTCTATTATAACTTTTAATTACTGATCATATCATCAGTTTGAGTGCAGTAGTTATTAGTATATATTAGTATTATTAGTATATAATATAAATTTACATGAATTAACATAAAAGCTGACGATCATGTTCTGCAGGATGATGTAAGAATGATCCAAACAGAATTGTGTGTTTTAATGGAAGCAAGAACATCTGACATCTGTACAGAATTTTAATTGTAATATTTTACAATAAAACTGTTTTTATTGTATATATGATCTAATAAATGGAGCCTTGGTTAGCATATACTGTTTTAAACAATCAATAATAGTGGTTTGTGACAGGTGGTGCCAAGTGGTCCTTTTTTGCTAGTACGAACGTGTGTGTATGTGCTCATTAACTCTGCTGTGTTCATGTGTGTGTATGATGGCTTAATTACTGATAGAAAAGCTCAATCAAAGAGCGACAACTCCCTTGAGCAGCCAAAATTACTTCACCTACTCTCCTGATTACTCAACACACCTTCTCTCTGTATCTCTCTAGATTGTCTCAGCTGTGCAGTATTGCCATCAGAAGTGTATTGTACACCGAGATCTTAAGGTGAGAATGTGTGCTTGTGTGTGTGTATTAGGGCCCTTAAGGTCTGTTACATATAAACATGCCCTGAGCAGCAAGATCTGCATTCAGCTGTACCTTCATCTTTCACATGGTCTTTAGTAGTTCTTCTATGTCTGTCACCAAAGTCCATTACAGAAGTCCAGGTGAAGGAATGAGTCCTCTATTCACACACACACACACACACACACACACACACACCCACACGCTATCATGAGTGTACTCTGAACTCTGGAACTGCTGACCCCTGATCTTCTCCTTGTTAAGATGAAAGGAAGTGTCTCTCTGGATGAACGTTCCCATGATGATACTCTATCCATATAACTGAAGTTGCTTGTTGGTCCAAACCATCATCATAGTGACTCTTGAACCTTGAAGTTAGTCACTGTCTCCATGCGTAACAATGTAATTCTCTTACGCCTCGCTCAGGACCCCCAGAAATCCTGTATAGTGTACAATTGTGTGCCTGAACCTCTTCCTTTTTCTCTCTATCAGCTAGTCTCTTTTTTTGCACACACAAACAAACACACAGAGATGTACACTAAATAATGTCACCGCAGTGCTGGAGATGTATTGATTACAATAGAAAAGGGCAGTGTTTGCCATAGTGATTTAATATGAGCACCACAAAAATTATAGCATTTACCCAGATTTGCAAATGTACTGTAATAGTGATGCATCTCTGTGTGTGTTTGTGTGTGTGTGTGTGTGTGTGTGTGTGTGTGTGTGTG